ACCGAATGTTTACCGTAGCGATGGTTTGCAAACATATTACGCCGTCGTCATTACTTGTGCTGTAATCATCATGAAAATAAGGGTTGCAGCGCAAGCATGAAGGTGCTAGAAAAAACGAGAAACGAAAGGCGAGGCAAGAAAAGCAAAGAGGAGAACACGAGCGCTGACTACCAACTGATTTTATTTTTCGCGGCACACATGATAATATATACAACAGGCAATCTATTAACAGCAAACGTGAGCAACGTGACAAATTCTGGGGCACGGTCTGATGAATAGAAGGTACAATCATAAAATGGCTAATCCTTATATAAAAGCACGAACTCTTTGTCATGCAAGGCCACCGAAGGTTGGCTCACGCATCCGTCACCATGTTTTCTAATAAAATACGCCTCAGCTATATCACGAGTTACTTTGTCCATGTGGCGTACCAGCACACTCACGCCCGGAAATCGAGGCTGGCACTTGCAGCTTTTACGATGCAAAACAAGGTTTGAACTTATTCCTTTGCATAATTCGTTCGTATGCTCTCACAACCTTTTATTAATGCACCACCCGGTTCGGCATATATAACAACGACCGCACGTTAAAGGAAGCATGTAGACAACACCAACTGTGCAATCTAGAAATTTATTTATGTATTTTACGGTGCATGTCCAACTTTTTGTGGTGATTCGAATGAGGCGCTCATCCGTCATTCCGCAAATCTGGCCTACTTTGCACAGGGCTGATAAAACTACATCCACACCATATCTCGAGCCGACCTTTTTCAAACCATGAGATATATTGTTGAAGTAAGGAATGACAGCAACTCTTTTTTGCTCTTTTTTTCTTTCTGCCTTTTCTTGTTTTTGTTTGATTTTCTGCAGCAAAGTTTCGCACACTGGAAATTACAGATTTTGGAAATCCCGCTGACAGAAGTCTGTTAATCTGCATTGTTGTTACACTAACAGTCATCTTGTGTAGGCATGGCTTAGACAAGCCAGCACTAACAGCCGACGAAACGATAGCTCTCTTGACCAGTTTCGTGTGGTAGGAAGCATAGTTTAACAAGGGTTTAACACTTTGTGGTTGGTATTCTCAGCATACGTCATTTGAAAACAATGTAATATTATTATCTAAGAACCTCAACGATCCCTGTTGGGGAACTTCGCAAGTAAAGTCTAGCCCACCCCCATGCGTTTTAAAAGCACTCATTACAAGTTCAGCCGGGTTTTTCTTATTCGTTACGGAAGGCTGCAGAAAAATTATATAGTCGTCCACATATCTGAAGGCAGTTTTTACCAAATCTACGAGTTTTTCATTGAGAATCGCGTCAATTTTGGCAAGAAAAATGTCACTCAGAACCGGGGCGACACTTGACCCAATGCAGACTCCCTTACGTTGTCTATAAAGAGACCCGCTCCACGAAACAAAAGTGCAATTCAAGTAGAAAAGCAAAATTTCCATGAAAGAATTAACACTGATGCCACTTTCATTAATGAACGATTCTTCATATTATCCTTGCTTATACAATCTCTAACATAATTTAACAATGTGCTCTGAGGAATGGAGTAATACAAATCTACAACGTTGATACTTAAAACAGGGCACCCAATTGGGTTATGATCCTTCAGGTATCTGACAACTTCTTGCGAATTACGGACGCGGTAAGCGTCGTCAAAAACTAAACTAGATAGATGTTTCTGCAATAACCTCCCAAGGTTATTTGCAGTAGTAGAGAAGAACGTAGATATTAACAGTAAACTGTAGTCAACGCATTTTATCTGCCGATAATCGGCTCAGACCACGCGCAACGAAGCGCTGTTGCGTGTATTTGTATACGCGCCGCAGACCGCCAATCCACACTCACGCGGGGCAGTGCTGCCACCTATAGCCCGATCTCGCCACGAATAGGGCATCGATTGATTGATTGGTTGGTATGTGGTGTTTAACGTTCCAAAACCACCATATGATTTTGATCACGATAGACGCCAGAGTGGAGGGCTCCGGAAATTTCGACTACATGCATGGGGTTCTTTACCGTGAATCCAAATCTGAGCTCACGGGCCTACGGCATTTCCGCCTCCATCGGAAATGCAGCCGCCACAGCCGGGATTTGGTTCCGCGACCTGCGGGTCAGCAGCTGAGTACCTTACCCACAAAACCCCCGTAGTGGGGCTCGAATAGGGACTCGCTCGAACATTTCCATGCAAAAACGCAGTATGTAAGACAACGCGTCATGTTAACAGGTGAGGCAGAATCACTTGATACTCTTAGTTGACCTGTTACCGCGGCCCTTAAGGGCCGCTGTCACCGCTTCGACGGAGCCCTGCATCCAGCGTCCGTTCCCTACCATGGCCGAAAGCAGAATACCTGAGCCACCGAGGAGTTCGTTCTTCAACGTTTAAACGGCAAGCTATTTATATCTACCACTTACCGCTGTTGATGGGCATTTCGGGGGAAACTATAGTGTTTTCAGCATTACCAGTAAGATGGCGCAATGAGCGCGCGTAGCCACATCGTCACGACGCGGTGTAGAGCGCTTGCATCTCCCACGCGCACTTTGCCTCGTGGAGAGCAGGGGGCCGACGTACAGGGGCATTTTAGGCCGACGCGCACTCGCGCGCCCTCATCTCGCGGTGGGGAAAATCGTACGTCTTGACTGGCCCTCGGCCTTGAGCGGAACGATTTTGTTGTAGTTACCGGGCGCACAAAGGTCACTTCAATCGTTGCACGGTCTCCATTTGGGAAAAGAGCACGCTTTTCAGACACAGCGAAGTAACAACTGAAACGCTTATTCGTGTTATCTGTACCTGAGAGTACGTTTCGTGCATAATTTGTGCGGGAGAAACGCGGGGAACTTTTCGATCTGCTTGCCTTTGTGCACGGGAACCTCCAATTTGTTGCTATCACGTTCATTGCTTCACCTTTGCGGCAAAGCTGTGACTTCTTTATTTTGGAGCCAGAAAATTAGCCAAACATGATTTCAGTTTAGTCGCATTACCACCACCTTCCAATGCTTAAACATCTCTGCAATGTTCATCACATCAAAACAGAGTGAAAGAAAACATCATATGACTTCCCGGAGGAGGCATGGAGACTTGCAAATTGGCAGTCAATACTGTTCAGACAGTCCAATGCACATAATCAAGTTCACTTTTGTCAGCATGCCCCGCGGAACTGTTAATGTAGATTGAGCAAGTACTACGTATTTCAGAGTAACTGAAACGCAGTTTTTAATCACGTTAACCTAGAGCGTGTAACACATAGAGCATGTATGTAGTCTAAATTTGATCCTGATGATCGCGAGAATTTTGTGCGACATTTGATTCCTTAAGTCGCTTTTTGTAAGACGCACAACAAAAAACACTCGCTCCGCCTCTGCACTCGATTTAGATAAAACAAATTTCATTGCCCTGTCTGCAATGTCTTGCATAGGACTAGCACCTAATACGTACCACTAGGTTTATATTTCGACCCAGAATTCGGTTGCTGGCATGTCGGCACTCACCTCCTCGATTTGACAAAGGAGCTGTAGTTGCTCCTCGATGGAGGCTCGCGGCAGCCAAATGTATACCTCTTGTGGCAAGGTTTTCAAAACGTTCATCGTATTCGGCCCCATAACAGAATAGGCAATGTGCAGTCTGCAGCTAGAGTCTCTGGAAAAACAAGACTGGCTAGGCTCTTAGCATGCAAATGTTTTTTTTTCTTTTATTGCGTCTGTGTTCACAGATCACCAAACACAGACGAATTCTCTTAAGCAATGCATGCTGTGCATCGTGCGCGTACACAGTGATAAAACACGGGCCTATCATTTCCAAACAAGTAAAATAGAACAATCGGCATAAAAAACGTCATGGCTGAGAAGTGCTGCAGCGTCAGCAGTGAAAATGTTAAACCAGAATGAAAAATGACTGAAAAAAAAAACAGCAAGATGCATGCCCTTTCCGCAAGGCTATCTATGAGCGGCAAGCATCCACTTTTCGCCAACGTTCGCCTAGCTTGGCGCCAGCTCAGAAGATGAGCGCGTGAGGCGGCTACATAAAAAGCCTCAACGAGTCCCCCGCCGGCAACGTGCTGCCTAACCTACTCGAGTACCATTAATTATGTGACACCATGGTGACAGGAGCGCGTTTTGGGCGCAGACAGTTGCTTCTTGTATACTGAGTAAAAAATGCGATTACAACGAGGGAGCCGCAGCCGGAAGTGTGAATGAACACTTAATTTTTTACTGTTTCGCTTGGTTTTAGCGAATATTGCGAGGCACGGCTTTATTCGAGTCTATCTCACGCTCACACACGTTGATGATGATATAGACAGATGAACAAATTGTACAAATGATGATGATATGTTTAGATGACAAAGAAAAGTCAGCAACTGCGCTCACGGCCGTTGATGTCAGCGCCAGAATCAACAGCCAAAATATAGCCAAGTAGCCAACGTCATTTTGTTTTGTCACGCAGCTTTTGAGTTGCCAAGCTGTCGTGAAGTAGCCAAATCTGGCAACCCTAATCCCGAATACCCAGCCGTTCCCTATATTTTTTGCGTTTATTGCATAATCTCCCGTGGTTGAGTGCGGTGTTTGTTATTTTTAACCATTCTTTCTCCTCATTTTTCTTTCCTTACCTTTCATGTCCTTTTCTCCAGGGCTGGGTAGCAAACCGGAAATTTTTTTCTGTTTAACCTCCCTGCCTTTCCCTCAGCCTTATTTTCTATCTCTCTGCGTTATCTATCTATCTATCTATCTATCTATCTATCTATCTATCTATCTATCTATCTATCTATCTATCTATCTATCTATCTATCTATCTATCTATCTATCTATCTATCTATCTATCTATCTATCTATCTATCTATCTATCTATCTATCTATCTATCTATCTATCTATCTATCTGTGCGAAAGGCATTATGACTTTGAGAGACAGGCGGAAAGATTTTCCGCAGAAGTAGACCAAGAATGCTAACGCAATAAATATTGTTGCAAAGTTCATACCCTCACTACTATTTCCATGCGCAGAGCCATGCGGAGACGCCCAACCCGTGACAAGGCCTGAGTCGACGAGCTTCTATAGAGCACCAAGATAACAATCAAGCGAGTCACGGCACGGCTTCTGTATAAACGACAGGAATCGACAGCCATGACGTTTGCCGTCTTTCTGGCGCCGACCGTAGTGTCTTTGACGCTGCTGCTAAGCCGGGTGACGTGCCAGCAGCCTGAATGCAACTTGAAAAGTTGCGAAAAGCAGTGCATGTCACTCCAAGCCTGGCGGTGGAGTTGCGAAGTGGAAGGCTGCCTTTGTACGTTTGAGCTAAACGACGCGAAAGGTCTGTGCAGTAAAGGTTCCGGAGGCGGTGGTAATGCAAACGAGCGTGACAAGAAAAAGAAGGATCAAGATCATGAGTACAATGTTGACGACGATTTCTACGACACTTTTTACGACGACCACCATGATAGCGGCTCAAGAGAAACCGGAAGACCTCCTGGAGGTCAAGGAGGCGGCGAAAAAACCACAAATACTCCCGGTCAGTAGGAAAAATTTCGATTCTTTCGTTATGGTTAAAGTAGCACAACTCAAACCCCGAAACGTACACGACGAGCGCTTGCTCGCACCTGAAAGATTTATTAAGGGAAACTTAAAAAGAAAGAAAACTAAAACAAAGCCTTGGATTTCACTAAGTGCTTTTTGAGTCTTCGTCAACGTGATGCTCAACTTCACGTCCTTAAGAGCATCCACATTGTATTTTCTCAGTAGACAAAGCCTACTTTAACAAAATTCAAGAATGCCTAGCTTCTTCCAGCAACGCAAGTAGCACCTTTGATTTTGACGACATGATCAAAACATGGCTTCGGTTGCTGAAGAATATTTGCGCAGTTAGAAATTTGACTCAACCATTGGTTAGCCCCGAATTGGTTATGTACTTGCTACTCTACCAATTTTATCGTTAGGCTCACAAAATGTTCTTCGAGCATAGACTCACCCGGACTCATGGCTAGATCTGACTCCGAATGAGTCAACTCATGGGTCAGTTAGTATTTGGAATCAGCATTTCCAATCATGGTTGGAATCCTCTGCGATATCACACGTAATATGTGCTCTTCGCCAGTCCTGGCACAGTATCTTCGAACGTTAGTAATTAAGACTCGAAAAGAAGTAAGATCATTTTTTTAACTATATGACGACATAAAATATATTTTCATCAAGAACTTCCTGAAAAGAGTTTATTTATTCATTTGATTGATTGATATATGGGGTTTAACGTCCCAAAACCACTATATGATTATGAGAGACGCCGTAGTGGAGGGCTCCGGAAATTTAGACCACCTGGGGTTCTTTAACGTGCACCCAAATCTGAGCACACGGGCCTACAACATTTCCGCCTCCATCGGAAATGCAGCCGCCGCAGCCGGGATTCGAACCCGCGCCCTGCGGGTCAGCAGCCGAGTACCTTAGCCACTAGACCACCGCGGCGGGGCTATTTATTCATTTGTTTATTTATTCATGATACCTTACAGGGCCCGATAGGGCATTGAGTAAGGGGAGCAAGTACGAAACAAAAAAATATCAGAGATAAATGCATTAATAAATACAGGGAAACAAAATTAAAGGTACAGTGCATACATATGTACAGTGCAAAGCATTTTCAAACAGAGGAACAGCAGTTGGCGGCTAGGGCGGAGGTCAAGGCACGTCTTATTATTAACATAATAAGTCATTCCCGCTTCTGATCTATAAAGGTTGAAATGGTGCATCAACGATACTGCTTTTTAATACGTGAGAGTAGACGTGACCGTAGACGTGAATCTCGGTCAGGCTGAGAGTAATGGTGAAGATGAGAGAGCGGAATGAAAATATTAAATCCAAAAAAAAGAAAAATGACTACAACATGACTCCGCTACGTGGTCGCCGTCCCTACTACGGGACACCGCATCACGAGGCCCCGACTCGCGCCGGTCACACCACAGTCCGTTGGGACCCCAGCGAGGAGCACTTGAGGAGGGCAGTCTCTCGTTATTGGTAGATAGGAGTCGTCAAGAAACTTAAATGCGATGTTTGAAAGATAAATCTCCGAGGGGGAATACTAAAATGTGGCATCCCAACCTGAGCGCAAGGAAGGGTTCAACGCCCCATGATCTACACCTATGAAATACATTAAATGACAAAGTGCGAGGCAAATTTTTTTTCTTTAAATCGTCGAAATGCACGCTCGAGTAAATTAACACACTATTTTTGTCATGTAGGTGGCAGTGAGAAGGGCAAAGGCACAAACAAGCGTCCAGGAGGCGGTGGGAAGCCAACAAAGTGGCCAGGACAGGGTGGCAGGCCACCTGGTGGTGATAAGGGCCAAGTCACGATACCTGGTGGAGATTACGACGAGTTTGATGAGACGCTAAGTACCCCCTACTACAGTACAACCTACAACACACCGAGTGTCCCCGGATACGTTACTACCGACAGCAGCAGCCTTTCGTCTTCCAGCGAAGACGACTATGGTCAGAAGGGGTACGGCCAGATGGACTATGGTCAAAAGAACAACGGAGCCAGGGCATATCTCAGTCTGCTGCCCCGGAAGGCGCTGAAACCGATGAAAGGAAGAAGCGGTGTCAGCAAGGGCGGCAAGATACACATGCCGTTCGTCGTCAAGAGCCTGAGCAAGCCATTATCCCCGAAGCAGGTGATGGAACAACTCAAGCAGCAGAAGGGAAACATCCCCATGAGGAAGATCCAGAATTTCCTGAAGAAGGGTGGGCGTTAATAAAACTGCTACACGTTGTTTCTGTTGTATTTCTATTTGATTAGATGATACGCCACTTAGGTGAAGATAGGAGATAATAAACAGTTATAGTATATCGGGCTTATCGGAATACCGGGCGTACCGTGATAGCAGGATCGAAGTGCGCGTGCGCACATACGCCCGTTACTCGTACCGCTTACCATACGTGCATTATTTTTCAGAATTGGCGTTACCGTGGTAGCGTAGGTGCACTCTAAAAAAAGAGCGAGTGAAAAGGGTGTCTTTCTGTCCCACAACAATAATCGTCATCTATATTGCGTTCCATCCTTGCGCTATCGCCCCGCGCCCGGTACATTTCGGTCCCAATTGACATGCCCTTTATCAGGGTTACATTGCATTCTCGATAGGAAAGTGGCCAGCACCGAGTTTTCAAGAAAAAAAGCGCACGCAAGCCTGATGACGATTATTGTTGTGGGACAAAAAGACACTATTTTTACTCAATATTTTGTTAGAGTGTGTACGTAGTGTACGTACAACATGGCAGCGCTCTCGTATGCTCGCTTCGAAGTGAATTTGGCGTCGTTGTTGAAACATTCACTCCGTTCGCAGCAAAAGACTGTTTAAAGTGGCTTTGCTTGCATTCAGTTAGCTTCGATGACCAAGTATTAAGGATAAGTTAGCACAGTTTTTGAAGTAGTTTCCCATTTCGAACGCGTCTAGGCCAAACTACAAGATCAATGTAAACAAATAGGCAACATAAATGTTTTCACATTTGGTGCGTGGTTCATATTTGTTTACTTATATTATTACTGAAATAAACTTGTAACAATGGTTCGCGCAGTGGCACAAATTCTCGTTTTTTTTTTCTTTTCACTGTTCCTAAGCTTATTAACCATCCAATATCTGGCGCCATCGTCCCAAATGGTGCAAGTAAACTACGTAAACATTATCCTGCTAAACAAACGATGCTCTCCATAATGAACGTTGGCTGCACGGTAACGCCATTCCCTTAACCTTCGCTATCATGCTGACAGTGAACTATAACTGTCTAAATACTCTATTATAAGGCGCGAGCACATATTCTCGCGCCACCATGCGGAGTCACTCCTGTGACGTGCGTGGTTGGATGGCTCAGCCACCTCCTCGCGTGCAGCACGCAACCGCTTTCGCATCCCCTTTTATTATTAATAATTTTATTGTTGTAGTACTTCAATCTCAATTCAATTTTGAATTTATTTACCTGAAAACAATCTGTATGGACACCTGGGCTAAATGCTGTCGCAGCAGCTTGACGAAGGCCCAGGGTACCTGACATGGCAATAACACATATATGACACATGACACGAAATGTTTTTAAAGACGATAGTCATTCTTGGGGACCTTCGACAAAAAAATTTTGGCCTACCTGTCTGTCTGTCTGTCTGTCTGTCTGTACATTTGTCTGTTTGTCCGCTCATAACGATACCTCAAATGGCTGACCCTATTCGCAGCGCCCACCGTCATTGCTCAAGGTTTAGCGTTCATACTAGTGCGATTGTCAAATAAAAAAGCAATTATTGCGCATATCTGAGGTACCATAACAACACGCCGATGTTTTCTATGTGTGCCTTTATACTAAAGAAGGCACACACAAGTAATTCTAAGGACCATAGCGTTAAACACGCTGTGCTGGCAGTGCAACGCGATGCTCAAAAAGGCAAAATGTTACCAACGCTTTGCTAAAACGACACGGTGGTGGCACCTGTCCGTCGCTTTGAATTCTACACCTTGTCGCCTCTGAGAATGGCATGCATCTTACTCCGCAGGCGCGCATGCTTTCCTTCGTTTTCGAAGATAAATACCAGATGGCATTTGTGTCTAACGTGCCTCGATGCGCTCGTTCGCCTCCGCTGCACGCTCGAGCCACTCCAACGCAGCGCCTCCAGAATACCCTTCACCGACTTTCTTGCGAAAATATCAAATAGATGTTTGTTCACTCTCTCAGGACGCATGACTATCGTCTTTAGACGACACCTGCAGTGTAACATGCAGATCCGGGCCAGTTTCTTACATAGCGTTTGCATCGAAAGCATTGTACATACAGATCAGCATATATCACACGTACACATAAAATGTAACAATGACACTTTGTACTAGAATGCAGGGTAAAGAGTTATTATAAAGATAAAAAGTAGTCGCGCAGAAGTTTTAGGGGCGAAGCTTCTTAAAGCATGGGCTGAGCGTCCCGTCGCAATCGTATGTAGCCACCTCTCGTTACTTCTTGAATCAGCCATAGAGGGCGGCATTTGTGCATATAACGAAATGCATATACGCTGAAAAAATGCTAATGGTACGATACAAGAGGACGTTACTTGTAGTACGATAATGATAAATAATAAAGATCACAGCATATCTATGGAGTGAATGATAATGAGTGGGGAGAAGCGTCCATCAGTCCGTCCGCGCTTCCACCCGTCCGTTCGTTCTTGCTTCCTTGCGTTCGTCCATGCCTCCCCGCGTCCATCCGTTCATCCGTGCGTCTGTCCATTCATGCATCCGTCCATGCGTCCGTCCCTGCGTTCGTCCTTGCGCCCGTTCGTGCGTCTGTCCATGCTTCCGCCCATCCGTCCGTGCATTCGTGTATCCATCCGCCCGTCCATGCATCCGTTCTTCCGTCTGTCCATCCGGCCATCCATCCACTTTGCCCCACTCGTCATCATTCACCTCGTGGATATGTTGTGATTTTTTAAAATTTAATGTGGTTGTGTGTTTGTACCAGTAGAGTATGGTTTGATTATTATCAGTTAGCGACTGCAAGCTGTAGTTGTTCCGGGACCAATGTACCATCTATACTTCAGGGTTTCGTGTGTGTTTCATGTTGTTGTGTGGTGCTAGCTTATCGAGTGACGTAAAGTAATTTTTAACATTTTTGGATGAGAAATACACGTTTCCAATAATCTATATTCAATAGCCTGTCAACTCGGTGTACCCCGCCGCGGTGGTCAAGTGGCTAAGGTATTAGGCTGCTGACCCGCAGGTCGCGGGATCGAACCCCGACAGCGGCGGCTGCATTTCCGATGGAGGTGGAAATGTTGTAGGCCCGTGTGCTCAGATTTGGGTGCACGTTAAGGAACCTCAGGTGGTCGAAATTTCCGGAGCCTTCCACTACGGCGTCTCTCATAATCATATAGTGGTTTGGGGACGTTAAACCCCACATATCGATCAATCAATCAATCAATCAATACATCAATGTAAACTCGGTGTAATTTGTGTTCGAGAAATATACCATGTGTGGCTGAAAGTCTATCAACGTTCTAAATATTGCGGACAATTTTCTTTCGAATGGTTACAAGTTTTTGCATGTTGCCTTTTGAAGTTGTTGCCCAGACAAAGTAACAGTAGTGTACATATGACAGGAATAGACTGTAATAAATTTGCAGCTTTGCACCCACAGGCAAGAATGCGTGGCAGTGCGCCATAGGACCGGAAACCACTGATAGCTTACCGCAAAGATAATTGATGTGGGTATCCCAACGTAAACCAGAAGAGAAATATACTCCAAAAATTTTTAACTCTTCGACCAACTCAATACGTTGGTTCTGGAAGTAAATATCATTAAGAAAGATGAGGGGTTTATTTTTAGCGTGAAACACGATAACTTTTTTATAATTTACTTTAAGCCTGTTCGCCTGAGTCCAGTTGGACAAACTGACCATAATTTCATTGCATTTTTCGACAAGTTTGTTGGCATCAGGACCTGACACGCACAATGCGCAATCATCCACATACATGATAAATTCCGCATCATTCGCTATATATACAATGGTGTTAATAAATACATTAAACAAAAGTGGTCCAGAAATACTGCCTTGGGCCACACCGCATACAACCGGTAAATAGGATGACGTGTGGTTATTGATGAACACACTCTGATTTCGTTCTTTAAGACTCGACTGAAGTAATTCTAACAGTCTTCCACGAAATCCACATAGGGAGAGTTTGTGAATAAGGATCTCGTGATCAAGACTGTCGAAAGCTTGATGATTGATATGTGGGGTTTAACGTCCCAAAACCACTCTATGATTATGAGAGACGCCGTAGTGGAGGGCTCCGGAAATTTAGACCACCTGGGGTTCTTTAACGTGCACCCAAATCTGAGCACACGGGCCTACAACATTTCCGCCTCCATCGGAAATGCAGCCGCCGCAGCCGGGATTCGAACCCGCGCCCTGCGGGTCAGCAGCCCTGTCGAAAGCTTAACTAAAATCTATGAATTAACATACCGGCTGTATAACAGTCAAGTTCAAAGTTCTACTGTTAGGAGTCGGTAGGAATGCTAATTTTATTTGAGATGTCTGTCATTCGAGTAAATACGAGCTTTTCTACACCCTTCCAAAAAACTGGGAGTACAGATATCGGTCGCAGAATTCTGATCACCACCCTTATGAATAACTGAAACCTTAGCATATTTCATTGCGCTTGGGTAAATTGCAGTCTCTAAAATGTGCACCAGTGAAAGAACAATAAATCTTAAAACATATTTTATAGGCTCAATCTGCAAGTTATTTATAACCTTACTGTTCTTAATTCCCACGCACACTCTGCACCCTCATCGGCAGGCACAAAGAATGCACTTTGATATGTGGGGTTTAACGTCCCAAAACCACCATATGATTATGAGAGACGCCGTAGCGGAGGGCTCCGGAAATTTCGACCACCTGGGGTTCTTTAACGTGCACCCAAATCTGAGCACACGGGCCTACAACATTTCCGCCTCCATCGGAAATGCAGCCGCCGCAGCCGGGATTCGAACCCGCGACCTGCGGGTCAGCAGCCGAGTACCTTAGCCACTAGACCACCGCGGCGGGGCGAAAAGAATGCACTTTCGTGAATAACATTGCAGTGGGCTGTTTCCTTCCCGCTGCCGCTAGGGGCACCACTTTGCGCAGTTGCGAAATGATGATTAAAGAGATAGGCAAGGGCCGTGCCTGCTATCGCATGTGAGTCTAGCTTTATTGGTGTTAGGGGCGTATCCTCTTTAAGGTGACCTAGAACAGAAT